TCTCATAAATAGTTTTTTCTAATTGTCCTTTTAAAATAATTTTATCCTCATATATGTCCCTACCTTTATGACACTATCTTGAACTCATTTTTTTTTTTTTATTTAGCAATTTTGTTTTTCCTTAAACTCATTTGTAGTCGTTTTTCCTATCATACACCTTCTTAACTAATATTTTTATGTGCATCTCATTAATACTTTACTATCTAATTTTTACCTTTTTTTTTTTTCATTTTAGTTTTTTTACCCTTGACTATTAGAATCAAAATATATTATATATTGTTAGGACCATGGGCTTCACCAAAAAAGATTGGGGTTCCAACTCAAAAGGTTAACATAATAAGTGGAGCCACTCTTTTATAAACCCATTATAGCTCCCATTTGTTATCAATGTGGGACTTTATTTGCAACCTTAACAATTCCCCTTCGAACGAAGTACCCATAGCACCCCTTTGAACGATAACAATTCTATCTATTGGATCCTCCATCGCAACTCCATTACGTTACATGAAGATCCTACCACCTTGTGCTCTCCATTGCATCTCCACATTTCATGGTCTGCATAACAACTTCGAGGTCTCCACCCCGCTTATGGACCCGCGCTACTGTAGTGGGAAGGTCCACCTCAAGTGTTCACAAAAGTTTTTCCACCATCGTGACCTAGGGCCCACACCTTCATTTGAAGGCGGATGTGGCAAGGTATTCGTCAATGGCTTTCTATGCACCCATTTTCACTCCCTCGTCATATCCCTTGATCTGACCTTCTGTCATATACTTCTTCGCTGTGTGCACTTGCTTCTACAGCTCATCTAGTTTAGCAAGCAAGTCTGCTACTTGCTTCTCCATCTCAAGAAGGGCCTTGTCTCGATCTTTAGAGGCAGCCTTGGACACTTGCTTCTCAGTCTCTAGAAAAGCCTTGAGGTTGACCACAATCTTGTCCATTTCTTTGCTCCTATCTTCAACCTTGTCTAGCTCAATAAGCTTGAGGATAAAAAGGACGAGAGCCTGCAAAAAGACGAGGTAAAAGAGTTAGAAAATTTGGCAAAATTAGCAATGAAGAATAAGGGAGAGGAAATCTAAATGGACTTGGTAGAAAATCTACTTCCGCTGACACTGAACCAGAGGAGGCTTAGAAGCAGAGCCCTAATCCTCGTTAAAGAAAATGTTTCTAAAGCAACTTCTCGTTGAACATCAATGAGGCCCGAGAGAAGGTATCAGCGATTATTGACCTTGGAGTTTGGGATGTAAAGTAGATCGTTCATTGGAGGAGGCTTAGGCAGGTCAAATGAAGGCACCACAGGGACATTAGAGTTGTCTAGATGTGTAGCATCGACCCTTCTCCTCTGTCGCCTATTAAGCAGTGCATCCCTTGGGGTCTCTTTTCTGGGGACCCTTCTTCGAGGACCTCTTAGGGAGCTCGGGAAGTTGGAAGCTAAGGTCAGCCATCTCTGCAAAAAGAAAACACGATAAGAAAACTAATAACCAAAAGGAAGCAAAACATTAGACTGAAACGACAATTGAAAGCAATTTCTTAGGAGTTTTTAGAGTAAGTAAATTATGTAATGAACATAATGTATACGAAACAACGAGGCTATGCTTAGTAACTTCGAGTCACTAAGTATGTTGATGTACTCAAAATGCTATCATGTTAATAGCATATGAACTGCAGTAAATGGTAAGTTGAATGTATGACCATACGTAGGAATGACTTTGAAGTTTTAAAGGAATTCTATCTACAGATTATTCAATGTTAAGAAGTTAAAAATATTTTCCGCAAAATATATTATAATGTATTTCACTATTGAAGGAAAAAAGTAACCTAAATTTTAGAAGTTTATAGTTCTAAACTAGTAGAAGTTTGGATGTGAACTAAGTATAAACGTAATAATGATGATAATTAAAAGTAAGGGTCGTCACACTTCGTGCATTACTCCCAGCTTCTGATTACACGGCACTAATGAATTACATACATAGTCTTTTTTCTTGTATACCTTTTCTCCTTTCGTGTGTTTCAATGAATAAATTGTGCTAATTCAGTTGGGAAATTGAACTGGTTGTTGTGTGGAAAAATATGGGTGACATGTGGAGTGGCGACAGCATGACACGTGGCCCTACTTTTCCTCAAAAGGTGACAACCCTCGATACCTAAAGCTCGCTTCCCCTCTACGCAGCAAAGAAAGGCCCAACTTAGGGCGTCGACTAGTCGTGCCGTCGAACTTATGGCAACAAAATCCCCGTCTGGAAAGGGTTGACTGCCAGGAAGGACATGAGGTCTACGTAGCATAGATGACGATGGGAATACTCTTTAGAAAGAAGCCTGACATCACAAGTTGCGTCTAGGGGTGAGAGACGTCTGCAGTACGGGCATTAATTGCAATCCCCTAAACCGCCCTACAGTGGGCAGTGAAGGATTACAGGAATCCACAGAGTCGTAATGGAAGACCAATTGGCTGAGTGAACAGTCTAAAAGGTGATTAGTGGGCTACGGTCTGGACCTAGAAAGGTAGGCCACTCATGTACTTTTACCTATGAAGGAAAACCACCCACGAAGTAAGCTTGAGCTATAAAAAGGGCAAAGCCCTATACACGAAAGGGATGGACTTCTCGAGTATTGAATCATAGAGAGAATATACGTGCATGTAAATTGTAAAAGTCCAAAAGAAATATATCATACACAAGTAGATGTAGCTCTTCATTAACAGAGTGAACCACTATAAATCTCGTGTGTCCTCTCATTCAAGCGTTACACTCACGCTCCTAAAAATACAGCAAAACACTTCACAACGTGATTTTAAATATATAGTTAATTTCCAGCTTGTAACCCAACGGGATACCAGCGGGTAACCCGGCGTATTTCTGTTGATGGAATTCAGCCATCAACAATTGGCGACTCCACTGTCCGAACCCAGAATCTCTGGTTCATACGTTTGTTGACATGCCACCAAGAAGAAGAATTGAGGCCATCAACCAAGGCAGCCAGATGGAAGAAACTGCCACTCATCCGGCGAACGACGGGATGGAAGAAGACCCACCTCCGGTTAGAAATGGAGCCCCACCCCCAGACGTACCGCGACCAGACCCTATACAGATGCAAGCCCAGCTCACTACCTGGACTGACCTGGTGCGGGGACTGATGACTGTAGTTGAGCGCTTGGATGGAAGAAACTCGATGCCACCTCTGGAAGACGCCCCGAGACCGCCAGAAGCTACCGTGGTTGGAAACCATAACCCTAGTGACCACCAAGATATCCCAGAAGGAATCGGGGACAGTGAAAATCTTAGAGGTGATCCTAGGCCTCGGCCTTCCCAATCCGCCGACAGTCGTCTAAGGGCTGCCGGACTCCGGGCTCCTGAGAACCAATAGCCAGACGCCTGGGAAACCCGAAGCGCCACCTCCGAACCCAGGCATAAACCTTCCAGTAGATGCGGGGTCGGTGCAAGTGGGCAGACGAGCAAGAGGCGGACCCAACGCACAAAGGGCAGAAGTGTCAAAAGGAGCCGATTCAGCAATCTCTACGGAGGAGGCACTAGCCATTATGGAGAGCATGGCCAGCCTAGAGCAAAAGCTCACGGGCGATGTTGCCGGCCTAAAGAAACATATAGGGCGAGTGGCTGAGGTAGTGAACATCGACATCACACCTAGCTGGACGCACGACCACCCGTTTACTACGGAAATTATGGCGCCACCCCAACCCAATAAATACAGGTCACCGTCGATCCCACCGTATGATGGCAGAGGAGATCCCGATGATCACCTAGAAATGTACACGAGGCACATGCTCTTGCATGGATATGCCGAGGAGATCATGTGCCGAGACTTCTGAAACCATCTAACAGACTCTGCCCGGAGATTGTTTCGAACGCCAAAGCCAAAATCCATCTCAAGCTGGGATGAATTGAAGGAAGCATTTTATCTCCAGTTTATGGGAGTGAAAAAATATGTCCCTCCAAAGCAGAATTTGACAACGATATATCAGAAGAAAAACATGTCATTAAAAGAATGGCTCGCAAGGTAAGGGGAAGCTGTCGCCGCGACAACGGATATAACCGATAGAGAGGCCTTAATGGGGGCGTTATCTAACATGAAGAAAATCACCCCCTTCAAGAGAGAGCTGAACCAGAAGCCCCTGTCCAGTTACAAAGAATTCCTTACATGAGCGCAAGGGTACATCAACGCCGAGAAAACAGATGCAAACGACCTCGAGCACAGGTCCAACAAAAACAAAGGGACTGAGCAAGGGTCGACGGCAGGAAAGCAGGATGGAAAGAAATGATGAGGCGGAGGAAGCGGGGACAAGCAGCCTGCTTCAGCGCCGAACACTCCAGAAGCTAAGAAGCCAAGGCAAGAAGAGAATCGCAAGCCTCGGCCGTTTAAAAGGTACGATTCATACCATGAATTGACAGTAGGAGTCGAAGAAGTATTTAATCAGGTAGGTCACGGGAACTTACTGCGCCGCCCAGAGCCGATGAGGTCAAACCCCAGCCGAAGGAACTAGAAAAAATATTGCAGGTTCGACGGCGACGTCGGCCACCACACCATTGATTGTGTCGATCTTAAAGATGAGATCGATAGGGTAATCTATGAGGGAAGGCTGCAAGAGTTCAAGGCCAAGCGAAGACCAAGAAACGAGGGTCACAGTGGCCAGAATGACGGTCGACGTCGAGAGGAGAATCAACGACTAGAAGACTGAGAACCCGTCGGCGTCATACGGACTGTCCTCGGCGGTCCATACATTGGAGGAGACTCGAGGAGGTCTAAAAAAGACTACGCCTACGAAGCCAGAGGGGTGTACCAGGAAAGGTTCGGGAGTGTCTCTGCCGCGAAAGCAACAAGGTTCGGCAGCACTAACGTAGCGTTTAATGAGGACAACGCCAACGGGGTTCACTTCCCCCACAACAACGCCTTGGTGGTATAAGCTATAATCAGAAATCACACCGTATACCGAATCCTGGTGGACAATGGGAGCTCGGTAGACCTCCTATAGTCTGACTGCCTAGAAAAGATGGGGATCCTAAAAGAGCAATTGGAAAGGACTTCCAGGCCATTGTACGGTTTCACTGTGGACTCCGTCATCCCTCAGGGGACAATTCGACTGCCTATAATCGTCGGGGAGAAACCTCGACAAGCCACTATAATGGCTAATTTTGTGGTAATAAAGGGAGACTCCCAATACAATGTCGTTATTGGGAGGCCGACCCTTCAGGCGCTGAGGGCAATAACCTCCATCTACCACCAGAAGGTTAAATTCCCTGCCCCAAACGGTGTAGGTGAAATAAAGAGCAACCAGTACGAGGCTAGGGTTGCGTATTCTGATGCCTTACGCGGATATGACCAACCAGGGAGGCAAGAGTCCAGAATGGTCTATCAAGGTGCCATTGAGGACATAGACCCCAGGGTCCAAGAGGATGCCACATGGTCTCAACCCGTCGAGCAATTGGTGGAGATCCGAGTCGACAAGGACGAGCCAACCAGAGTACTAAAAGTAGGTTCTGACTTAACCCCATCACATAGGGTAGAAGTCGAGAGTTTCCTCAAGAAGAACCTGGATGTCTTCGCCTGCAATCATGCGGATATAAAAGGGATCGACCCAGAAGTCATATGTCATTCTCTAAATATCGACCCCTCATATCCCCCCAAACGCCAAAAGCACCGACCAATGAACCCGGAGAGGTACGAGGCATTGAAAGAAGAGGTCGATAAGTTAATCCACAACGGTTTCATTAGAGAGGCCCGTTACCCTCGGTGGGTCTCGAACCCCGTTTTGGTGGTCAAACCTAACGGGACATGGAGAACATGCGTCGACTTCAGTGACCTCAACAAAGCCTGACTAAAGGATGGTTTCCCGCTCCTTCGAATAAACCAAATGGTTGACGCCACTACAGGGCATGAGATGCTAAGTTTTATGGATGCCTATTTCGGATACAACCAGATCCCCATGCATCCAGCTGACGAGGAGTACACATCCTTCATAATCGACAGAGGCCTCTACTGCTACAAGGTAATGCCTTTTGGCTTGAAAAACGCAGGGGCTACACACCAGAGGCTCGTGAATAAAATGTTTGATCAACTGCTCAGCAAATTAATGGAAGTTTACGTCAACGATATGCTTGTAAAAAGTACCAAGGCCACCCAGCACGTCGACCATTTGGGAGACATGTTTGGCGTGTTGAGAAGATACCACATGAAACTAAACCCCCTAAAGTGCGCCTTTGGAGTTGGATCAGGGAAATTCCTTGGTTTCATGGTCATTAACCAAGGGATAGAGGCTAATCCCGAAAAGATAAAAGCCTTGCAGGATATGAGGTCTCCAACCAAACTAAAAGAGGTGCAAAGGTTGATGGGGTGTGTCACCGCTCTGAACAAATTCATATCAAAGGCAACAGATAAGTGCGTTCCCTTCTTTGATGCTTTAAAAGGAAGTAAGCATTTTGAATGGACACCACAATGTGAAAAGGCCTTCCAAAAATTGAAGGAGCACCTAGGCAGGCCGCCGATCCTGTCAAAACCCATCACCGACGAGGAGTTGAGCCTATACCTCTTTGTGTCACAACACGCCGTGAGCTCCGTGCTAATAAGAGAGGAAGAAAGGGTTCAGCTGCCGGTCTACTATGTAAGCAAAAGACTCCTCGACGCCGAGTCAAGGTACACTTAAATGGAACAACTAGCCCTCACCTTGATGGTAGCCTCAAGGAAGCTTCGGCATTACTTTCATTCCCACACAATACGGGTTCTTACAAACCACCCGTTAAGACAGGCGTTGCAGAAGCCCGAAACTTCTGGTCGACTTCTCAAATGGTCGGTGGAGTTAAGCTAGTTTGACATTAAGTATGTACCGAAAGTAGCAATCAAGGGGCAGGCGCTGGCTAATTTCCTGGCTGAGTTCTCTCATAGATCGACTCCCGCCACACGCGAAAAAGTCGAGATGACGAAGTGGAGGCTCTACGTGGATGGAGCGTCGAACGAAAACGGGTCAGGAGCCGACGTCCTGTTGATCAGCCCGGAAGGCCACAAGATTACTTCGGCAGTACGATTTAGATTCAAGGCGTCGAATAATGAAGCCAAGTACGAGGCGCTGATTGCAGGACTACGATTGGCGAATCACTTGAAAGTCGAGAGGCTCGGCATCTTTAGCGACTCTTAACTGGTCGTTGGACAAGTAAATGAGGAATACCAAGCGCGTGGCGAAAAAATGGGTGTGTACTTGAGAAAGGTGAAGGAAGAGCTCGTCAAGTTCAAAAGTTATGAAATACTTCAAATACCACGAGCTGAGAACACCAACGCTGACGCCTTGGCAAAGCTAGCATCATCAAGGGATTCCGACATACTAGGGATCGTTCCTATCGAAGAACTGGAGTAGCCGACCATTGAGGAAAAAATTAAGGCCTTGACCATCCAGATAGACGAAAGTTGGATGACGCCACTTATCCAATATCTAACGAATGCAAAGCTGCCGAGTGATAAGGATGAGGCCCGACGAATCAGGTATAGAGCCACCAGGTACCTGTTGTATGACAGTTTGCTTTACCGATGAGGCTATTCCATGCCTTTGCAGCAGTGCCTAAACGATAGCGAAGCCCAGAAGGTCCTCTGGGAAATCCATGAAGGAGTATGCTTGAATCATACTTGGGGCAGTCTTTAGCCCTTAAGGTTTTGAGGCAAGGGTACTATTGGCCTACGCTTAAAAAAGATGCGTTCCAATACGCTCGACGCTGTGATAAATGCCAAATATATGCCACAAACCCTAGAGCACCCCCAGAAAACCTAACCCCTATTCTCAGTACATGGCCCTTTGCCAAATGGGGAGTCGACCTGAATGGGCCCTTACACCTCGCCCCGGGAGGCTTCAAGTTCGCCATCGTCGCAGTAGACTACTATACTAAATGGGTAGAGGCAAAGGCTCTAACTACGACCACAGAAGCAGCTTGCACCAACTTCATGTGGAACAACATCGTATCCAGATTCGGGGTCCCGCACTTAATAGTATATGACAATGGAAGACAATTTGATAATGCCTCAACACGCAGGTTCTGCGACAGCCTAGGCATCCGAAAGGATTTCTCGGTGCCAATACATCCACAGTCCAATGGTCAAGTCGAGGCTGTTAACAAAGTATTGAAGTATACCTTAAAGAAGAGGCTCGACGACTTAAAGGGGAGATGGGCAGAAGAACTTCCAAAGGTCCTGTGGGCATATAGAACGACAAGCCGAACCACCACGGAAGAAACACCCTTCTCCATGGCATATGGCGTCGAGGCGGTACTCCCCGTCAAAATTGAGACGCCGACTCTAAGAACTATTGCCTACAACGACGATGGTAATGCAGAAGCCATGAATGGAGAACTCGACCTGTTAGAAGAGAAAAGACTCGACTCCCAACTACGCCTCGCCGCCTATCAGCAAAGAGCAGCACGGTATTACAACAAGAAAGTTAAACAAAGAAGGTTCATCCTAGGAGACCTAGTATTGAAAAGGGTGACGCAGAGTACGAAACCCAAAAATACTAGTCCTCTGGGTCTAACTTGGGAAGGACCCTACCGGATAAGAAAAGTGTTGCGTCCTGGCACTTACATTTTGGAAAGCCTCACTGGCAAACGAATTCAACATCCATGGAATGCAGAACAACTAAGGCTGTACTACCAATAGTGTATGTAATTCTTACGCATCTTAATTAGATCTTTGGGCAATTTAAATAAATTGATGAGTTTATAGCAATTTAAATAAATTGATGAGTTTGTAGAAATATTGTTAAAAAATAAGAAAGGAATTTACCCTTTAATAACATGTCTGCTTAAAAAACCAAGGTATATTAAACAGACATGGGAGCGATAGGGGATCTACGGAATTTTCTAAGACGACGACCCCAATGGGTGAAAGTTAACGTCGTCTCCTCCAAGGTGGAGAGGCAAACACTTAGAAAATTTTACGGAATTTTCTAAGACAACAACCCCAAGGGGTAAAAGTTAACGTCGTCTCCTCCAAGGAGGAGAGGCGAACCCTCAGAAAATTTTATGGAATTTTCTAAAAACGACGACCTCTAGGGGTAAAAGTTGACGTCGTCTTCTCCAAGGAGGAGAGGCAAACCTTTAGAAAATTTTACGAAATTTTCCAAAAATGATGACCAAGGGGTAAAAGTTGACATCGTCTCTTCCAAGGAGGAGAGGCGAACACTTAGAAAATTTTACAGAATTTCCTATGATGACGACCCTAAGGGGTGAGGAAAGTGACGAACAATTATGAAATCTATCTTCAAAGACAAATAAAACGAAAGGAAATTCCAATATTATATAAAATGTATAAACATATAACATTACAAAAAAGAAAGAAAAACCCTAAGCATCATCGCTAGCCACCGAGTCATCACCATCGCCAGGTGGAGAAGAAGTGTCGTCATCTGCAGGAGGAGGAGGAATATAAAGGAAGCTCAAATCCCACTCAGGATACTCTTGTTTGATCAGATCGACAATTTGCTATCCAGCAGACTGAAAGTCCTTAGTGTGAATGTCAATGAGCTCCGGGGAAGCCTTGAACTCCTCAATAATCTCCGCGCACTTGGCGTCGAGCATTGCTGAGGCCTCGGCTTCAGCTTCCTTCTTCCCTTCAGTTTTTCCCTCGGCAAAGCACTTCTTCACGGCCTCAGTAGCTTCGGCCGATTTCTTCTCAGAAGCTTCCGCCCGTTTTGTAAGATCTTCAACCGCAGCCTTCAAACTGGCCAACTCATTTTCAAGACTTGGTAGCTTGGCCAGTTCCCCTTCCCAACTCGCTAGCTTAGCCACAGCCACGTCCCTCTCCTCGACGGCAGACGAGCACTTTTCCTTAGCAGCGTCGAGAAGAGAGGTAAGCTTAGCTTCCAGGCTGTTCATCTCCTTGCCACGTTCCTCAACCTTGACTAGATCAATAAGATTGAGAATGGAAAGGACTAGGCCCTGAGAAATTGGGAGTCATAAATGCGAAGGACGAATCTAAAAATGAAAAAAGCACGGTCGAAACTTACATGAATCTGGAAGGAAATTTGCATGCGCTGACGATCCACCAGAGAAGACTGAGTGGCGGAGATCCAGTGCAGCTCAAGGAATGATTTGTACAAGGCCTGGAAGATGAGGGACAAACGGGGAGGAAGCTTCAGGATGGCCCTAATCTCGGCGTCAAAAATATCCGGGACTTGGAAGTTGGAATCCATGATTTTTGCCCCTGGCATAACCACACGTTCCCTAGACGCTGAAGGAATACTAGCAACGTCGGGGATTAGAACTACCCGCGTCCAAGTCTCGGTCACCGGCACCTTCTCTTTGCGCCCCTTTTTGGGCGCAGAAGCTTCCACCCCTGACCCTGAAGGAACCTCCGCAGTTTTCCTTTTCTTCGGCGCTGGGGAAGAAGTGCTGGCTTTCTCTTTTCCTTTGGATTGAGGCTGCGGGCCGGGCGGAGGCTGTTGGTTGCCTGGGAGCTGAATCCTCAAATAAGCTATTTCTGTACAAATGACCAGTCAGAATGCAGTCAACATAATGTAATGCCAAATAAGATTAAGGGAAGCGTCGAGCCTAGGAGTTTACTTTTGTCGCTTAGATGAAAATATTCACGGATAGCAGGAAGATCAGAAGGGTCTGGAAAGTCAAGAATCAACCCTGCCTCTCTAAGGTTGGACTCGGTCAAGAGGTGTCAATATGGCGAGCCTTCTCCGATTACAAAAAGGCCTTTCCAACCCTCGCCAATCTGTTCCCAGCGAGCTTCGACCGATCGTGGCTGACTGCAGGGTAAAAGAACTGTCAGCATAAAAAAAAAGAGAAGAGAAGGAAAGGGATATAAATGAAGTGTCAAATTCTCACCCATATT